TAATTACTACGCAAAGTCCAGTACAAACTTTCGTCAACCCTGACTGTCCAAAAACTATTTCTAGATTTCTCTGTCGCGTGGGGATGAGCAAGAAGCTCATCCTCACGCCTCCGAGCAAACGTTCTCAAGATCGTCAAATGTAGGGTCCGTTTTTAAAACCGGATGTGCTCATAAAGAGTTGCCAGAGTTTTTCTATCACTGAAGTTAGCCGAATTTAGCTCTTGTCGTTTGCATGCTATTATGAATGCACTTGTGTTGAAGGAAAGAGCGGTGTCGCTTCCGGGTTCTGGGGAGGTCGTGGGTGCGAAAACAGAATAGGGATGGGAGGTGAAATTTGCTGACTCAGCAAACTGGAGTATGTACACCGTCTAGGCTATTTCAGAGGGATTATTGGAAGCTGATAGAGATGGAATATGTCAGTGGCAGCAGGGTCAGCAAGACTATTGAATCACCGTCGGTCATCGGAAGATGGGGCAGAGAATATAGGGGAAGGGAGATTACTATTGAATTCATCACATGTCAGAGCGGGGGTTGTAATGGCCAATGTTGCCTCGAAGGGTGGCTCAACCTGCTCGGGATGGCTTCTTGAATGCTTCCTGACCTCAGTTAAATTTGAAAGTTCAGTCTCAAAGTCACTTCTGCACACATACATTGGGCTCCTTTCACTTGGTCACTAACGCTGCACGTTCACGACATATTCATGACTTGAAGCAAGAACGAAGCCATCGTTTCCTTAGATAATGAATGCGTAGAGCAGTGACACGCTTCTATGCGTCAAACACAGGCACTTGATCGACCCAGACAGAGCAGACTGCGCCTGACATTGCGGCCGAGCTCTGGCCCCACAATCGGTCATTCTCCGATAAATAACTCGAGAGAAAAAAACATCTTCGCAGTAGCCCGTATTACTTGTTACCATAAATCAAGTAATTACAACTGATTTGGAATTGTACATAGACGTACCTGAAAACTTATTTCCAAGAGAATCCGATCACTTTTATCCTTGAAGTGCTTACCCAGTTGACAAGCCATTCGAGCACCTCCGAATAATGCAGAACTGACCTAAAAATATTAAGTTACTGAAGAGAACATTTTTTTCAGAGCCATATTTCCGCTCTCTGGTGGCTAACGATTTACGGAGACCTTGCGTGCGACCACGCAGCGATCAGCCCGCTGCTGGCATAGGGGGCTTACGAGAACTGGGATCTCAATGTTTTCCTCATGGGGTATAATAATGCTTATTGACTTCTTTATCAGCGCGATCTGGGGGTGGATCCTGATCAATGCTTGTCGCCGTGGTTAGTTTGCAGAGGCCGCCACGACTTGTCTTTATGAAAAGCTCTTCAGTTATACATAGCAGAACAGCGAGGAAGAAGCATTTCATACATTTTATTGAGCTAAATCCAGCTGTAGGACCCTAAGCGCGAAGGCTGGATCACTAGACAAGGTATTATCCAAGAAGGATGAATTTGCTTCAATATTCCTACACGTCACTACCACGTAACATGCCCAGAAATCATCCAACCACAAACTGAAAAACCGGGTGAAAGTGTAGTTCGGGGAACCACTCATGTCCAAGCAAAAGGGATTGCGGAAAGGCACCCATATATTATCGAACATAATCATCATATCTTTCACTGAGACCGTGGCCTACGATCGCCACATCACGCTTGTTACCCTTATCGTATTATTCCATAGCAAAACTGGCTGCTACTTTGCCGACTCTTGCTTTCACTATGTTTATTACGGGGCCGTAATTGAAGGCTGAGCCGAAAGAGGATTTTGACAAAACAGTGAGGTCCAGGTATCCCTATCTAATCGTACACTCAAAGCCTGTGCTTTGAATGTTGATCAGATATGAGTGAGTGTGCTCTTGCGCCAAATCCCACCTTTGATTAGATCATTCTATTGTCGACATACGATATCACTCCCCCCAGACTACAGGGTGGGCAAAAATTATGGTAGCAATATTATTGGTCATAAAATAGCAACGTGGCTGAGAAATCCCAAATCAACAACACCATCATAATGATGGAAAGTTATCAAAACAGAAGCAAGGGTTGGGTGGGATGCTCTAGGGGGGAAGTGGCCTTGGTACGTTCAATAATAAGCGTACTTCCTGAAAGTCACAACTTTGAATGCCGTAGGTGAGTGTTTCGAGCAAGTCCAATACGATCTTAACGCGAACTCAGCTAGTCACGATGCTTCCTTTATGTTTGTAGTAATGCTCTGCCTTTGACACACTTAGTCAGAGCACCCCACAGGACTTGAGTTGGGAGTGCTCTGTTGTCACTTCTCTAATATGATGAAATTCCCAATATTCTGTTGGCATCGATTTTTGGGAAATCTGTGCATTGTGGGTAGACGCCCAATCTTGCTCTGATATCCTGTGTCTCCTATTGAGGGTCTTTGCATTTCGAAGGATCAACTGAGACGAGGGAGCTCGGGACGTTTCATTACAGTTTATATCTTGAGCAGCACAGGTCCGAGGTGTTCTTCGAATGGTGGTCCTTCCTTGCTTTGATGACTTTGCGACAACATTGTGGAGTGGGCTGGTCTGGGCTTTTCACCAAGCATTGTAGTCAGTCGCTCTTTGATAGAGCAACAAGAACATCTTGTAATCAAGGGAGACGATCCATAAAGGACAGCTTACTTCACGGAATCGGCAATCTCTTCAGATCCACTTTCCTAGTTTAACCCATTCCCCTCATCGGTTAGATTTCAGGCATTTTATGCTTGTAAAACTTCCTTTTAAGGTGTGTGCAAATAAGTCGTGGTAAGAAAGTGCGCTCGACACAGTTTCAGCGACCAAACGACGTATTGAGCGAGCTGGCTTCTAGCACTTCTTCGCACATGACTTCGAGATATTACCCATGATGTCAGACAAGCAATCCTTTAAGGTTCAGGCTTATTGATGCTGATGAACAGCCTATCAAACTTTGTGATGGTGGTCGACGAAAGTTTCAAAATGCTTGAATTGTATTGATTGTATTGCAATGCAACACAATCAAGCAGCTCGTCGTAGCGTAGTAGTAACTATTTACCGAGGAATTAAAAGATTGTCCATGCCGGAGTTAACATATTTCATGTGAAGAAATCGAATTATGGAACACTGAGTTATCAAAGTAAGTATACAGAATACATAAAAAATTCCTGATGAGTAAGAATTGATATTGAGAGCGGCAATCCTGGTTCGCTGATTTTGCCACTATTCATTTCACCTAGTCCCGTCCGGACTCTCGACTCAACCTAGATACAACCGTTCCCATCTTCACAGACTTGTTATTCTCTTGTCACATACAGTGGCGCTCAAAAGTCTTCGGTGGAACTGTGAGCAGCAAGTCAGACTTCTTGAATGGCCAAGCCAATCCCCCGATCTAAATCCCATAGAGCACATGTGGGAAGAGCTCAAAAGACGTTGTTCCGGCAAATATAGCAAAAACAAAGAAGAAAAGTTCGCTGAACTAGTGAAAGAGTGGTACGCCATGCCAATGTCTACCATCCAAAAAATTATCGGTTCGATGCCTTCGCGCTGCGCCGCTGTCATCAGTAGTCGAGGTTTTCCTACAAAATATTGATGCTTGTAGTATATTGCATTTTGTTATCTCGAATAAAATGGTTTTTCCTAAGCCTATGCTATCCGTGTTCCGCACTGATCTTGAGTTTGATCTCACTAATGTACCGTGAACTAAAGCGCATTGCGGCCAAATAGCCGCAATTATTCACAATATGTCATTGATCAACATACTGCAGTTTCGGTGGATTTCATGCAGTAGGAAAAAAGTTACGCTTGAAAGAGCATTCCACCGAAGACTTTTGAGCCGCCACTGTATATACCCCGCACCCATTGTGCGGGATATATATACCCCGCACCC